CACAGGGACACTACTCGAAGGAGAAGAAGTTACTAACCTTACAATAACGATGGTTCTTCAAGATATGTCCCCCATGGGTGCTCCACAACCCACCCTCCTCCCCTCTACTTCAGAGTTCTCTATAGGGCTCAGCGGTTGAGAAGGAAGTGAGGGGGGTTCGCCTGTGCAGTGCTAGATAGCCTCGAGGCAGACCACAAAGGAGGGAGGGCACATGCAGGGGCTCAACGGACACTGCTACCAAAAATCTCCGATTAGAGGCACACCACAGGGGTGCACATACACCTACAGTGGAGCATCCATAGGGGGACACATCTCCAAGAACCATCGTTACTACACAAGGTGAGTAACTTCCTCTTTCACTTTTGCCTGCTGCTGCTTCTTTCTCTGTAAAGGTCATAGTTAACCCTTTACAATGAAAGAGCAAAAATCTGCCATAGGTTTTCTACAGGACAGACTCATTCCTGGTCCAGATTCAAATCTTCTGTTGCTTTTTTCCTCTACGTCGAAGAAAGTCCAAAAAAGTGGCTTGAAGTTTTATAAGTAGTTTTTCCATTTTAAATTGTATTAGTGTGTCAGAACCATAAAGTGAATAGAAACTACAGAAGAAGAAGTGGGCTGTAGCCCAGGAAAGCTTATGCTCAAATAAATTTGTTAGTCTCTAAGGTGCCACAAGTACTCCTGTTCTTTTTGCGGATACAGACTAACACGGCTGCTACTCAGAAACTACAGTATACTGTAGGAACAGATAGGCGGTTTAATGCCAAAGAAGAGAGGGGACGCTATTGAAGTAACTGCTGCTTGAATTAAGATGGACATGGTAGGGGAGAGGTAATATCTTTTATTGGAGAAAGAGACAAGCTTTCAAGCTTACACCAAACTTTTCTTCGGGTCCTTGACTTAAAGGTTGATCCTATAATCCCTATTTAGAGAAAACTCCTATTGACTTCAAAGTGAGTTTTGTCTGAGTAATGACTGGAGGCTTCTCTGTGCACAGATACCACCGAAATAGGTTGTGACTTAGTGCTAGAGATTGATGAAGTGATTTAGATTAATCACTGACCCAAACTGAAAATGAACTTAAATCGAACCTTGGGATTCCAACATTTGGGATAACTTTTTTCTCTCTCTAGATCTTCATTTTCATGCACTTCTGCATTTCCTTGTCCCAGCTGAGAGTGGAAACAGAAGTGCCATAATACTATGAGACAGATAGTTCACACTCAATTTTCAGCCCAAGAAGTTCAGATACACTTTGGGTGACATCTGGGTGCTTATCTGAACTGAACCAAAAGTCCTGAGGCTGACCCATCCTTGCTTATTCCCCAGAAGTCCAGAGTTTGAGGCTATGTTGCAGTGTGGGCCCATACTCGCTTATTAATATGCAGTGCTGCATAGCATGCGCTGATACTACAGAGGTGTGCATGTTGCGAATGCCATTGCTTAGATGACAGACTCGTGTAGTACAACATCCTGTATCTGATGCTGCACTCCCTAATGCAAAGCTCATCACGTCCCATCATACATTTGAAAGGTTGGGGTAAGGCTGGTGAACATGTTTATAACATCTCAACTGAGAAAACAAATACTGTATAAAAAAGCATAACTGGCATTTTTACATGGATGATAAATAGTACTAGCACCGCATTAGTACTTTTGCTATTGTGTTCCTAGAATTAACTATTCTGAGATGTTGTCTGACTCTTACAGCTCACCTGCAGTTTTTACTCATAAGCCAAGGATTGAGCAAATACCATTAATATCTTTGTGTACTATATTATCCATAGGAGTGTTCCAGTCCAGATCAAATCTTGTGACCTCATCAGGCTAAATACGTTTGATTCCTACCTTTATAGGATGTCTCAAATGGTTGGTTCTTCAGAGAACAATATGTTTCTTTCATGGTAACAAAATTCTAATTTATTTTAAATGCTAACCTCCACCCCCATCTATCTTTTAATAGCCTGTTACTGCAGAGTAAAGACGAATGCTGCACTGTAGGCTGTAGACCATTTTACATTCATTGAATTAACTGTTCTTGTTATTCAGATGACTGCACTACGCTTCATCTGTATAAGTTTTATTATCTTGCTAGGGAACTCTGTATTTAATTTTCTTCTTCACTGCAGATTAAAATTGATAAATAATCAAGTTAAATCCTGTGACTATCTGAAATTTGCCTTGGAAAACAGGCAGGCTAGCATCCCGAGGGTTAGGAAGCACAAGTACTTCTTGTGTATGAGACAGATTATCGACATGTGAAGGCTGTTCGCCCTGGGAAGAAAACTCATACCACAGGATTATTAGCCAGTGCCAAGCAACTTCTTATTGTTATTTAAATTACCGTAGCACCTAGGAGCTCCATTCCTGGACCAGGACCTCATAGTGCCAAGTGCAGTGCAATCACAGAAAAGAAAGACTGTCCTCGCCCCCTTAGGCTGTGTATACATTCAGTTAACTGGGTTTGTTGAGTTTGAGTACCTAGCCTAGCCTAGGTGTGAGCAGTCACACTACAAAGCCATACCCATTACTGGGTTCTCAATGTTTCTACACTTGCCTGTGTGTGTGTCTGTGAGCATATCCCATAGTTCTCTGTGTTGAGATGCTCCAGGGTTCTTTTGTGGTCAATTGTGGGAGAATTAGCCCTTTTCTTCTGGGGGAAGTGTGGGAAGGGCATTGGAGGACCACCAGCACTCAAGTGATTTACCACACGTCCCTAGTACAAAGTGGGCGGGTTTCAGCCCAAGTTAAAGTGGACCCCAGATTCTACCTGAGGCCCGAGCTGGGTCAGATAGCCTGGTCTTCAGGCACTTTCAAACCCAGGTCAGTGATTTTTCTGTGTAGATGGCGGGGCTGGGGAGGCCACTTAGGACTAAAATCTGGGTAAATGGCCGGCTTAACTGTGCAGTGTAGATGTGCCCTTAGTCAGTTGTATTTGAAACAGTAAAAACCTGGGCTTTTGTCTTTGAGGGGTTGTCAAGAACATGGCTTAGGTAAGATGATAGGGGCCTCAATTCAGCAAAGCACTCAAGTGTGATGGATCAGGGCCATGTACAATTGATTATTCTGGGTATCACACATTAGTAAACAGGGTTTTCCCTTGTTTAAAAATATGACTGTCTACGACAATATTTTAGACTTTAGAATTCACTTTGTAATGTGGCACTTAGTAGACCATGGGCCTGATTCTGCTCTCATGTGCACTGATGTAAGTCAGGAGTCACTCCACCCTGAAGTTATTCTAGTAGAACACTGAAGCAAGCAGTGTTACTTGCTGGCTGTTGAATATTTTTGTCACTGATAAATATGTATTGTTCCTGGCAATGATCACTTAAGAATTGAAACACCTCTGCCTAAAATTGCAAGATTGCCTTCTGGAAACGTCCTATGGAATTTAATTGGGATGAAACCAATAAGATTCTATGGAAATTATTTTTAAAAGGTTTTGTAGAAGTTACTGCAAAACTCCATAGGTTTTATTACTGAATTATCTCCCTTCCATAGATTTAAAAAAAAAAATCTTATACATCTTATTCTTTAGCAGGTATATGGTTATTAAATCTATAAAATGATTTAAAAAGCCACCCTATTTTCACATCATTTTCTATTCGCTAGATGGGACATTTATAGGGGCCTGACAGACAATCATTTGCTAGGTAAAGAGTTCCTGCTTTACCGTGTTCAAAACCGTTGGCAGCAGAAACCTTGCTTCCTTTCTAAGTACTAGCTTGGAAAACTATTAAAGTGGCATAACAAGACATCATTATGCTCTGGGCCAGCTGCATGCAGTTACCATTGAAGGCAGAAGCACAGTTGTCAGAATCTGTATAATACTTATGTAACATTGTCAAGCGTTCCCTGCCTCCCAGCAGGAATGATAGGAAATGTAATTTATTTACTTTAAGCAAATATATCTCCCACTAGAAATCTTTCAGTGCTATCTCATACATTCATATTAGGAAACATACCTTCTTAGGTTTCAGAGGTAGCCGTGTTAGTCTGTATCAGCAAAAACAACGAGGAGTCCCCTTATGGCACCTTAGAGACTAACACATTTATTTGGGCATAAGCTTTCGTGGGCTAAAATCCACTTCATCAGATGCATGGAGTGAAAAATACAGTAAGCAGAATATATATTATAGCACATGAAAAGATGAGCATTGCCTTACCAAATAGGGGGGCAGTGCTAACGAGCCAATTCAATTAAGGTGGAAGTGACCTATTCTCAACAGTTGACAAGAAGGTGTGAGTATCAGCAGAGGGAAAATTACTTTTTGTAGTGACCCATCCACTCCCCCCCCCAAAATTTGATAGTGTTCAGTTTTCAAATTAATTCCACCCCACACTTGGTAAGGCAACTCCCATCTTTTCATGTGCTATAATATATATTCTGCTTACTGTATTTTTCACTCCATGTATCTGATGAAGTCGATTTTAGCCCACAAAAACTTATGCCCAAATAAATTTCTTAGTCTCTAAGGTGCCACAAGGATTCCTCGTTGTTTATACCCTCTTAGGGCATCTGAATGGGATCTTAACTTGGTTCAATTTATTCAAGACTCTCTCTCTCTCCCTACCCATTTGTGATGCTCAAAAGAGTAACTGGATGTTGACATTTCTAGGCTATCTCCACACTAATTGTGAACCCTCCTGGGAGATTTGACTCTGTTTTCTAGGACTATTTTTGGAGGCTTGGATTAGGATCATTGACTCGGTATGTATGACTGAAGTAGAAAAGCCTGAAGAAGAGCTCTGTGTACGCTCGAAAGCTTCTCTGTCTCGCCAATAGAAGTTGGTCCAATAAAAGATATTATCTCACCCCCCCTTGTCTGTGTAATGTAGCTGCATAAAGGGCTCTGAGGCACATGTAACTCTGAAACACATTTGAGCTGTTTTGCTGCCCGTGAAGATTGCTCCTGGACACATTGACTGAATTTACCTGGTTTTCTGAAGGGAAGCATCGGGGGCAGTTTTGACACTGTCGCCATCTCTGAATTTTGCAGGGTGCCCACTGGTGATCTGCATCATCTCTGCAGCTTCAGCCATGGACTGTTATGGAGAAAGTGGAAAGTGAGTACAGAAAGATCTACCTCTGGTTCAAATATGAAAACAAGTAAGATATGGGGGGAGGGCAGGACTAATACTAAATATCTTCCCACGGGGCCTGATTCTGAGCACCAACAACTCCCATTGACTTCAGTGGGAATTGAGGGTGTCTAGCACTATTTATCGCTTATGCATTACATGTTAGGTCTACATATTGAGGCTATTTGCACATTTACTAGGGATGGGCCCAACTCTGAAAGTTCAGATCCATAATCAGAGCTGAGTGTGAACTTCCTCAGAGTTTGGGGATGAGATGGTAGAAGAAATTCTTAGATCTAGTGTTCTGGTTTGGATTCATCTCTTTGGGCACTACTGTAATACAACCAATAATAGTAATAAATACACATGCATATGTAAGGGTATTTATATGTTAACTTTTGTTTTGAGCATATTTATTTTACTAATAAAACTGAATTGCTCAAGGATTCTTTGTTTGGACTGAAACAGCTAACCAGCTCTCCTGTTCTTAGTCTTTATTGTTGTACTTTTCCCCCCTGTTTAAAACGTGTTAGGAAATAGCCACCCACAAATAGTTCCCCATGAGACTGCTCAACATTATAGTGTTCTGTTCCATAAAGAGATACTGCCTCCATCAATAGTGATGGTGGAAGTTCATGCTAGGTGATGTTCATTGTTTTTAACATGTATGTTACATGTAAACTCCAGTTTTGACTAAACACAAGGATCAGAGAGCAACAAAACTAACCAAAATACTTGTGTAAGCAATGTAGTTGTAGACTATGACTGCAGAGGTGTTAACGGGCCACTCTAGCTTGAATTTTCCCTTACAATATGTGCTAACTACTTAAGTTAAACAATCTGTTCCATCTTGCATTTTGCTAGGACACTGTGGGGTCCCTTCCCAGACCTGAAGAGGAGCTCTGTGAAAGCTCTCAAGCTTGTCTTTCTGACCAGCAGAAGCTGGTCCAGTAAAATATATAACCTCACCCACCCTGTCTCTCAAAATACTTGGTGTCAAGTCAGCTGGGAGTTCACTTTTTGTTTAGATCTAATGTGCAGGGACAGGAGGAGTAGTGAGGCAGGATTGGAGGACTGAAGACTCCCTGGAGGGCGTAAAAGCTCTTTATAAATACTTGCTTATTGGGGAGCAGGATTTTGAGAAGGAAGCGCAATCTACCTCCAGGAATCACAGGTCTTGGGCGGAATAGAGGGTTACTATCCCTGAATTAGATCCATATCTTTCTGTAAAAGCCAGTGAGGAAGCATTGGGGCCATTGCTGGAGTTGATGATGCATCTTTCTTCTTCTGAACCCTCTCCACTTCTAAATCACACCCGCTCAGCATAGCACTCTGCCCCCCTCTACTGCTGGCGGAACCACAGATAAAGGTTGATTAGGCAGGTACAGCCTTGGCTAACATAGGTGGGTCTTTTATCTCAGGCAGTTGAGGTTCATGGGTTTAGAATAAAAGATCATAGGTTCAGTCCCCATTGCTGACAACCTACCCAAGGGCATGATATTACACACCCACAGTCTCCTAGGCAGTATGCCTTTCTCTATGTGGACATAAATGTTTCCAGCCATCAGTGTTACACATGCTCTGAGCACCCCTCTGGCTGTGCTTTGTCAGAAGGATACAATAATGCAGAGGCTGGGAATGTCTGTAGTAAGAGAAGAGATGATTGGCTGATTAAACAAGTTTAATCTTAATTAGTAAACCAGATTTAGAGATGGTTTTAGGATTAAAATTCTGAACATTGAGTATGGGACATCGTAAGCAGAAAAAGCAAACTGATCTGAGAGAATACCATAGGGCCTAATCCTGCAACAATTTAAGCACGTGAAAAAACTTTTATTTTGATGGGTAAGGTAATTCATGTGCTTAAGTCATTACAGGATGATACAGGCTTTGTTAAATGAATGGATTACTCCTTATTTCTGTTTTTGTCCATTCCAAACTGAAGATGTAAGAACTAAGCTGAAAGTTGCCATCCCCTTTCTCACGCCCCAGCAGCCTGAAAAACAAGAGAGGAAGTCTTAGATTTTGTTCTTGCTGCAAAGACAATGGGAATCCTCTCTTCTGATAAACACCATATTACATGGTGCAGCTGCCAGAACGGACAGTTGAATTAATATGCAAACTAGATACCATTAATTTGGGTTTGAATAGAGACTGGGAATGGCTGGGTCATTACACAAATTGAATCTATTTCCCCATGTTAAGTATCCTCACACCCTTTTGTCAACTGTCTGAAATGGGCCATCTTGATTATCACTACTAAAGTTTTTTTTTCTCCTGCTGACAATAGCTCATCTTAATTAGCCTCTTAGAGTTGGTAGGGCAACTCCCACCTTTTCATGTTCTCTGTATGTATATATATCTTCTTACTATATGTTCCATTCTATGCATCTGAAGAAGTGGGCTGTAGCCCACGAAAGCTTATACTCAAATAAATGTGTTTGTCTCTAAGGTGCCACAAGTACTCCTGTTCTTTTGAGGTATTCTCTCTCTCTGTCTCCTTCACACCATCTTGAAGCACCCTGGAGCAGATAATTGCAGGCAGACTTCCCTATGCAATATACAAATCCAAGAGAGAGCTTGCCGGAGACTTCTTGAGTAGGAGGAGTGGGGGGAAGCAGGAGGATGCAATTAGCTCCATCCATGTTTCCGGTTTTAGAATTTCTCAGCCATTCTGTACCATAGTTTCTTCTCTTTCTCATTAAGTGCATTGCTAATTAAATGTCCTCATGTTTGATCTTGCAGCAGTGAGTAGATAGTAACCATTCTGCTTTCTCCCTGCAGTTGCTGGCTTTCACTGGAGAACGGCGCAATCTGGGGTTTTGTGGCCCCAGCATTGTTTGTAATTGTGGTATGTATACTTGCTGCTACCAGTCTCTCATTGCACATGCGCTTCAGTCCCACAGTGCGGTTTTACTTGAAGGCACAGGCCTAAATTCCATCCTCAGTAACACTGGGTAGCCCCACGGAAATCGATGGTATTGCATGGTGTCGGTCTGAGCTATTTTCTTTCTGTTCGTTCAAATGCCCTCATTTTACTTAGATTGTCCTGTTAGTATTTGTTTAGGTGAGCTGATTCCTACACTGTTAATTTCACTAGTCCACAGTACATGTCTCCATGCTGATAGGCCTTAAGCTGCAACAGCCACTGAAATTCTAATGGGAAAAATTACACAAAAACCTACCAGTAAAGCCTGCTGTATTCTAAATGTACCTATGTCCCTCCAATCAAATGCTATAGGCTAGATTCACAAAGGGACTGAGGCACCTAACTGCCACTTTAGGTGCCTGTATCCCAGAACCAGACATGCTGGTATTCACAAAACCACTCCTCAGCTGCCGACGAACCCTAAATTCACTTGGCACCTAAGTTTTTGTAGTACGTGCATTACTGCCCCACTTTTGGTGTCTGGATGCCTAAGCCCCAGCGTGATTCAGAAACCAGGGGAAGAGAGCTCTTCTTCCGCTAACTCCCCTGTGGGCCCAAGCCGGGCAATACGCTCTGGTCATGCTTACCGGATTGGTCCCCTCACCTGTGCTCACAAAAATGGCTGGAGGTGGGGAAAGAGGAGGAGCAGGAGGCACGGGCCTGGGAATTGAACAGGGCTCTTCCACCGCTCACAGGAGTGCTATAACCCCTGCGTTATGGGATATTCTGATGTGGGGGCTCCCTCAGCCTCTCCCGTTGAAGCTGTGCCACCATGAGAAAGACTCCATAGCCTGGTGGTTAGAGCACTCGCCCAGGATCCAGTCACCTTGAGCCAATGACTCTTTTATCCAAAATGGAGCAGAGTCTGGGGGAGCCTCACATCAAACTATCCATACTCCAGCGCTTAGGGCACTCACCTGAGAGGTAGCAAACCCCTGTTCAAATCCCTTCTCCCCCTCAGTCAGAGGGGGGACTTGAAGCAGTCTCCCCCTCCCAAGTGCTCTAACCACTGGGCTAAAAGTTATGAGGGAGGTCTACCGCCACCTTGCAAGAAATTCCTTAGGTACCTCCTGACTCCAGGAGAGGTTTCACAGCAGAGACTCCCAAGCAGAGGAAGGTATTATGAAGCTATGACTAACCCTAACTCCAGCCGGGATTTAGGCACCAAACTCCCTGATAGCAGTGAGGCTTAGGACATGCTCCCTCTCCTTGGCATCTTCCCTGGGCTAGCTTAGGCAGCTACCTCCCTCAGCGTGCTGGCTTTTGTGAAACCCATTCTTAGGCACCTATTTCCCTCCATCCATTGCATAGGAAGCCTGAGAGCTGAATTCAGGATATGTGAAGCCCAGTCATTTTCTAAGTGCCTAAAAATGAGGCATGTCTGCAGATGGGCCTGATCCTAGAACACTGACTCTGATCCCATTCAAACTTTGAGGCTGGTCAGATTTGGATCCAAACTTCTCAGCTTAAGTTCATCTCTCTAAGATGAATCCAAAGCTTCTCCTCCTTTGAGGAAACTTGGGTCCAAATTCAAACTTCGTGGTTCATTTCTATGTATGAAGTTCCATAGCCAGAACCTCAAAGTTATTTAGGTGCCTACCTTCAAAACAATGGGATTGTTACTATGTTATTAAATTGTCCTTAGTGTTTATGGGACCAGTGGTCTCACTCTTACTCCTACGAGTTACTCACATGAATAATGATTTTCAATGTGAGTCATGGATGCATAGTTAGGTCCTACATTATTAAAATAGCAATAATATATCTTTTAAATACATGTTAGCAAAATATTAAAAAAATGAAAAGTTCCGTATTAGTAAAGTATCTTTTTTCCCTCTGGTTTATTTATACACAGCATAATATGCAGTATTTGAAACAAGAGCAGAGCTACAGTACTTTTAATAAAACTATTTATTATGAAGCTCTGACTAATCAAGTTATAGGAAAATCACAGATCCTACTGTAGGCAGCTATTAAACCAATACAGTTTATGAATTTAAAACCAGAAACTATTTTGTTACTAATAGTAACACTCAAATCAAACTATGGTGGCTTCCATTAAAATCTTTATAACCTTGCCTTTGCATATACATATTATTGCAGTGTTCCATATTTGTAGTATTGTGACTACCTAGGGAATAATGCAAATACCATGGTAACAGTAACTACTTGCAAGAGAATTTATTGGAATTTTAATGAGGACCGCTATACACAAAGCATCTCAGATAATAGCTATAAATTAGTTCCAGAATACAGTCTTGTGATAATGTATAGCCCCTGTAGAAATAAATGCCAAAGAAACATATAGTAATAGGAGAGACAGATTTAGACCAATGCCTGGTGATGAAAAGTTCTATCTGGCATTATTATTCACAACTGCTTCTTCAGCCATTAGGCAAGCATCAGAAACAAGCCTTAGTCACTACATAAACTGGGCTAGATTTGAACTAACACTCTAGAGGCGCATGGATCCACGTTTCTCTCCTGAGCCATCCAGTGATTTAAAATACATATTCAAATATTCAAAGTAAATATTTATGATCAACAAACAGAACAAAATCTTTGCCAAAATAGTTGCCTGCTGAGTACAGATTTCTACTGCATTTGCTGGAGGAAACAGTAATATTGTAAATGTAAAAGTTAATTAAAAACATTCAAAGCAGAGGTTATTAATGTGCATGGTTTAAGCCATCATTTATTATGAATGCTATGACTGGCAAGAGCAACTGCAGTCCTCCTTGGCCAATGGATTTTGAAGTCCGAGGAGAGAGAGGCGGGCATAGAAAGAAAATACCTGCAAACCACTTATACAGTGGATGCCTTATATTATATTTCATAGGCCAGATTCTCTGCCCTGCTCTGCTCCCTTTGTACCACTCTGGCAGTGCAAAGGGATCAGAGACTGGCCATGTCCCTCCAGCCAGGGATACCCCCAGCTAATGTAGCTGGATCCTAAGCATCCCCCTACACCACAGGGGGTTGCTTCGGATCCAGCTACATTAGCTGGGGGTGAGTGATTGGTGTGGCCAGAGCCCCAGCTGTTGGATAGTTCTTGGGGGACACTTACCACCTGGTGGAGATCAGAGCAGCCCCCACATTGCTCTTAATTCTGAAAGGGTCAGTGGTGGGGAAATTTGGCCAAAGATACCAGAGGCAAACCTCTGCTCTTATGAACAAGTGTACTGGGATCATTAACGAGTGTGCAGAACAGACAGCTCTTGGATTTTTTAATGCCTCTTCAAAAAGATCCCCACACAAAGCAAACTACAGGGCATTGAGTTCCTGCACCTTAGAGGGCTAAGTCCCTTCACTAGTATTCAAATCTATTGTTCTTAGCATGCCTGGGTGTTCCAAACGTGGGGCTGTGCGCCCTCAAATCCCATTGCAGTCAGTGGGGTTTGGGGGCACTCAGCACATTGCAGAAATAGGTAACAGATGACTAGATTCCCACCAGCGGGGTTCTGCGGAAGGTACCATACGGCCTGCACGTTCCCCTTCCCTGTAACCGTGTGTTAGAACTCTACAATGATATGAGATTCAGGCTGTTCCTTCCCCTTTGGCATGGAACATCAGGCACTACAGTTTAAACGCTTGGTGAAGGAATGGCTTGTTAAACCAGGCCCGTTACATTCAGATGGCTGCTTTGGGTACATCTGTCGGTTGTAATGATTTTAATCTTTCCAGAGAAGAGTGCAGGTTCATGACTCAGTGACTGATACACGAATGTATTACAACGGTTTAATTATGCCCACACATTAAATTACACTGAACTGGTGCTTAATCGCTTTGATTAGTCGAGGAGTCAGGGTTGTTTTCCAGGATTAAGGAGAGCATTACTCCCCTGAAAACCTCTCTACAGCATCATCCTCCGATACTGTAATCAATGAGGCCCCTATGACTCTTGGAGTAGGGTTGTGGGATCAGGACAATAATGCAAATGAGACGTAGATAGAAGTGTGGCGACTCTAGTCAATAGGTTTGTGTTAAAGGCCTTACTTTGATTTTTAAGTGATGAGTCCAGATTCTGGGCCATGTTTGCGGTGTTGGAGAGGGGCTGAGTGGCACCCTGGTCCAGGAGCTCTATGCCACTTTCCTGCATGGACACCAGCAAGGGGTCTGCAGTGGGGACCTGCAGGAGACTGGAGCATACTGGCAATGCCAAACTACACCCGTCCCCCACAAACTGTGCCTTCTGTGCACACTAAGGGAGCACAGCACAAAAATCATGCCCCCATTATTTCCCTGGTGGAGCAGCAGAATGAGGGCATCGACTTTACCATAGCGGGCTAGAATAGCAAAGGAAAGTTCCAGTGAGATGCCCCCAAATGTTCCTGCACCTACAGAACCTCCCACCCATTGCGTTTGCAAATGAGCATTGACACAGGCCAAGAGGAGAGCTGCACATACAGCAGGTGCGGATAGTCACCAGGTTCACCACATCACAGCATTTTACAAGCATTTAAGCTCCTACAAAGGGCTTGATTCACTCATGGTAAACTAGAGGGATGGCAGTTGGTGGTTCCACTGCTTTCTTCTAGTGGGGCTGAATCAGGACATTTCATGGGCAGTGTAGCCCAGCCCGTCTCCCACTCACTCCATGTGCTGTGAAAAGTCCTAGGGAAGTTAATAGTGATGGAAGTGCTTGCTAGGACTCTATAGACATTTAACAGGCAAGATGAAAAAGCTCATGTCTCAGTTTTACAACCACCAACTGCCATCCCTCTAGTTTACCATGAGTGAATCACCTTCTGTGGCTTTAGTAAGTGTCTAAAGTACAATGCTGCAGTTGTGCCGCTGTAGCGTTTCTAGTGTAGAGAAACCCATAAAAAATGGTGAACAACTGAAATAATCCAATGTTCAAATTGTTTCCTCATTGACTCAGCACTTGCTGTCTTGCTGTGTAGGAAATGTGAGGCAATCGG